TACATCGCTAGTGGTGTAGCGCAGAGAAAAATGTTCGCAGATGAGTAACCAAGGCAGGGCCTGATTGTGAGAAATCAATGTCCAAAGCATTGAAGACTAGGTTAAGTTCAGCACACGTTCTAGAGATCGGAGCGTTGGCACCATAACTGCTTCTAGAGAAACCTATTTTAAAGAAATCCCAATGGCGGAGGATTCTAGAGGGAATATTAAATGCTATCTTTTCTAGAAGAGAAGGGCAGTCAATTGAGCCAGTTATGATGTTAACGACAAACGTGCACGCTAAAATGGATTTCAGTCAAATTTTCAGAGATTATGCCTTGCATACATTATCCTATTATAGGCTCCTAGAAAACTCGCTCGGTGGCGTTGGAGTCGAGTTATTTATAAAAGCAGTATTTATGAACCGATTTGGTTAATGCAAATTCAAAATGTTTATTTTTGTTTTTTGACGCTGTAACCGCCTAAGCGATTTTGACCGAGTTCAGCAAAGCACGCCAGTCGTTTCTCCTCTGTGCCATCTGACGCCAATTGGAAACGCCAAGTGAAGCCAAGTCCTTCTCCACCTGATCTTTCCATCGCAGTGGGGGCCTCCCTCTTCCTCTCCTACCACCAGCGGGTTCCGAGTTGAATACTTTCAGAGCTGGAGCGTCGGTGTCCATTCGACCGACATGACCAAGCCAGCGGAGCCGCTGTATTTTAATTCGCTGCACTGTCCATATCGTTGTAAAGCTCATACAGCTCATCGTTCCATCGTCTGCGGTACTCGCCGTCGCCAACGCGTAAAGGCCCGTAAATCTTCCGCAAAAAAATCTTTCTCTCAAACACTCCAACAGCCGCCTCAGCGGATGTTGTCATTGTCCATGCTTCTGCGCCATATACCAGCACGGGCATGATGAGTGACTTATAGAGCGCGGTTTTCGTACGTCGAGAAAACTTTGCTCCTGAATTGCCTACTCAGTCCAAAGTAGCACTTGTTAGCAAGAGTGATTCTACGTTGGATTTTAATTATGACATTATTATCGGTGTTAATGCTGGTTCCCAAGTAAACGAAATTCTCTACTTTCTCGAAATTGTAACTGTCAACAGTGACGTGGGTGCCAAGGCGGGCTCGGGTTCTTCTTCTCCACAACTTTCCGTGCTGCTACCATTTAGTAGGGCGGAAAAGTGTTCGCTCCATAATTTAAGTACGCTCTGGACACCAGTTACTAGGTCGCCATTATTGTTCTTACAGGAGTGCGCCCCGGTCTTTAAACCTTCCGTAAGTCGCCTAACTCTCTGGTAAAATTTTCGGGCATTCCTCCTGTCGGCCAGCATTTCAAGCTCTTCGCACTCACGTATTTCTGCCTCTCTCTTCTTGTTGCGGCAAATACGTCTCGGTTCCCTCTTCAGATCCCTATAGCGGTCCCATATAGCGCTCATTGCGCCCGATCGCAGCGTGGCCCTGTAGGCGGCATCTTTTTTCTCTGCAGCTTCCTGACACTCCTCATCGTACCAGTTGTTCTTTCGGGCTCGCTGAGATCCGACTACTTCTTCGGCGGCGGTACTTAATGAGCGGGAAATGTGGTTCCACTGCTCGCATATGTCGGTTTGTTGAAGGGTGCTCTCTGAGAGCAGGTGTGAGAGTCGAGTCGAGTAGCGAAAGCGGTGGCTTTCTGTTGTGATTGCAGCTTTTCGACGTTAAGCTTTCCTTGTACATATATATACAGTGACGGGCAAAACTGTAACATGGTGTAACACTTTGTACTTCAGGCATCGCTATCTTTCCAAGTTCTAAAGACTTTTATACTTTTGTTGTATATTCTTGTTGGTACATCCCTACTCCCTCTCTCATAACGATTTGAAGTCAATACAACAACAAAAAAAAAACCAGCTGACAAAAATGTAAATTAAGGCAGATGTTACAGTTTTGGACTCATAAATTTTTTAGAACTTTTTAACAATTTTCACGAAAAAAAAGAACTACTAACACAATGTTCAGTACTCTTTTGCTTGTTTCAGTTCCTGGAAACGATTTGGCATACCTTATTTGTATCTCTGTAAAAATTCTGGAGGTATATCCTTAGTTTGCTTTCACAGCTCATGTACTCGATTTTACGGACTTGGATACTTAGTAAGCTGTGCTTTTAGTTGTTTTCGCAAATTCTCAGTGGGATTCATGTTCGCGGATTGTGGAGGTCATTTGAAATTAGCAAATTTTTCCTTTTGTATCCAGTCTTTGCGAATATGTGCAGTGTGTTTTGGGTGATTTTTCAGCAGAAATTCTCATTTTTTCGACTACATCTTGCAAATTTTGTTGAAATATGAACAGATACTGTTCCTCACGAATAATGTGTACTAACAGACCATGAAAATTTTTGAATTACAACGCCAAACTGTTATTGACCGACCATTGTTATTCACAGTTTGCCTTACATGCTGCGCATGGGCTTAATTTGGGTTTTTACCCAATACCATGCCCGGCCATCTGATTGAAAGCGATTAATTTAGTCTTTTCGGACCAAATAACCTTCAATTGAAACTTAAAAATATGTTTTTTATTGCATTCTGAACGGTCTAACATATCCCAATAGGCAACGGTTCGGGTTTCGTGCGATACAGCAAAATGCTGCCGCACTCACACATGTATTTTTAACAAATTTGCTTTTTTCTTCCTTATGATGCCTTTGCGCTCAATTTGGGAATTCTTCGCCTCGCTGTCCATTGATTTGCGTTAAAGTTTAATACCTTAAGCGCTTCTGTAAGAGTGGCTGCATCGCTACTTGCTGCTAAGTTCACAAGATATCGTACCGTAATATTTTTTGACAGACTTCCTTTGTCCATGGGAGCACTTTAGGCTATATTTTTTCTCAGTCTTAACATTTTCAAGTAGCAAATTCCAAAATTTTTTGCCACTTTTCGTGCGGTCCCGCCTTTCCGCAGTAAATCTATTAGTTACATTTATGGTTCCTGATTAACTATATTATTTACTGGTGATCACTTCTTCAATAAATTACAATACAGAAAAAAGTCATCTGACTTCCAACTAAGTAAGAGATAACTGTCAAATGCAAAACTGAGAGTGAGTGCAAAAATCTGCCTCAATTTACATTTTTGTCTGCTGGTTTTTTTATTGTTGTTGTATTGACTTCAAATCGTTATGAGAGAAGGAGCAGGGATGTACCATCAAGAATATACAACAAAAGGATGAAAGTCTTTAGAACTTGGAAATATAGCGATAGCTGAATTAAAAAGTGTCACACCATGTTACAGTTTTGCTCGTCACTGTATGTACTTTAGGGTGGTCCTTAAATGTAGGAAGCAAATTGTTGCATCAGATTTCTTAAGCCTCAACCCCCACGTCAATGTTGCTACAGTCGAAGATATCACATATAAATTTTGATCCCGATTGGAGACGGTTAAGGCGTGTCACACAGGGGATAAAATTCAGATTCCTCTATGTAGACTCAAAAAATTAATTACTATTTTTTCATCTAATACCCAAAATCGGTACTACTATATTAGAATATATCCCATATAAATTTTGGCCCGATTGGAGTCGGTTAAGGCGTGGCGCACTGGGGTCAAAATTCAGATTACCCTTATTTAGCCAATGTACGGGAAAACTTTTCATCCTGTGGGACAGCGAGGATTCTGATAAGGACTTTTATTGGCTCACGTGGTACATTGGACCAATGCTGAAGTTGCAAGACCATAGAAGAATATCACGCACGCTTGGCAGAGATCTCACAGGTGGAAATAAGACCAATAAAACTCATGCCATTGAAAGAGACTCGATTCCATATGGTAATACAGCGCTACTATTTTTGGCCTATGTATGAGAAGGATTCTGATCTTTAGTCGTTTCAATTTGAACTAAAAATGTTTACTTTACAGACCGCTTTTTCTTTTAAACGCTATTTTTGTGTTGGCCAACGCAAAAGATCTTATAAGGCGCCACGACGCAAGCGGGCATTAGCTAGTATGTACATAAAAATATTGTCAATTACTTCTTGTTACAGATGGAAACAATTAAGAAAAAATTGACGACCAAGTCGAAGCGGACTTGCTGTATGATGATAGTTGCACGGATAAAAAATTAAGTGTTTACAATTATATATGTTTGGTTGACTGTGTATCTCAGAAACGAAATAATTTTTTTTAAAACGTCAGATTAAGGAAACCCCTCCCTCGCCAGGCTATGGAACAGCACGACCAGGGTATCGAGATGAACCTTCTGTATGAAAATCTGACGCGCTCGAGTAAATCCAAACGGCGATTTTTTTTGCACCTTCAAGAAGACGCCACGAGCTTTCGTCACATCTGAATCGTCAGATTATTGAATGGGAGGTTCATTCTGGCCCATTTAACATCCCTTGTGAATATCTGACGTGCTCGAGTAAATCTTTTTTTGTCACCCATTTTTGACCCTTCCGTACGCCCACTCCCACTATGCAAACCGGCAGATTAGCATATCTCCGTCATCAGAAACACGTTTTATTCATTCACTATCAATATCTGACGCGCTCGAGTAAATCCATCTAACTGTTTTTTTTTCGCCAGTTTTGGAAGCCTGTAGCTCTTCCACCCACCGATGGAAGGAAAAACATCTCATGACTTTTTTTCATATAATTTTCAAATTCCAATAGGTCAAAATGACGCTCGAGTAAATCCCAAATTAGCATCGTGGGCTCCCCTACTACTATACAAGATAAAATAAAATAAGTGTGTAAACTATTAGGTAGAGTGTTATGTACATTTATACATATAAGAAAGTATGTGACAAAAGCACTCTTTGATAACGAAATCAAGAGGAATGACTTAAGAAATTTTAACAAATAACTTATAAACAATTATTTTGGTTATATTTTTTAATTATACATGTTTTAGAGGATACCTCCCTTAACATCCTGACCAAGTTTCGTTTGTTAATTCCACCTGGTTTTGTTAAAACAAAAGGTGCGGCTGAATACTAAAGCCCCCCCTAAAATTTATTTACAAAGAAGATAAATTCAATCACATACCAATTATAACCCCATTCGCAGAGCGATAATAGCTTTGTGTAATTGTGCGGAAGCGTTCTTGCCCGGCAGTATCCCAAATTTGAAGCTGCAAAGATACTTGATACCCCTGAGAATCTTTATTCAAAAACTGCGTACCTTAGTTGCTTTTCCTTCTATATTTATAGTTTTCATAGAGAAGTCTACACCAATCGTATTTCCATGTCGTTCGACGAAATTTCCAGTCTTGAAACGTTCCACTATACAAGTTTTCCCAGTTCCACAATCTCCAATCAAAACAACTTTGAAGAGGAAGTCAAAGCTTTCTTCATTTGGCAGTGCCATAAGGGTATGTGGGTTCCGTGAAGCCATACCGAACATACTTTTACAAAGAACTTGATCCACTAAACTAATAATGGTCAACACTTCTATAAAGTTGCTTTAAAATAATTTACAGCAACCCATTCCAACAAAACAATTTTTTTGATGTGTCAGTGTAACTTCATAACAATGTAAATAGTGACTTGCGATAGAACGATACGGGTACCGAGTACAGAATGTCGATACTTTTTATGCGTACTGAGTAGTTTCAAGAGCTCGATACTTTTTGACAAGTACTGAGTAAATATCGGAAACACCAAAAAGAATCGGCATCAGTGATCGGAGTCTAAAACAAATTGTGTGGTAGAATCTGGAAATAAATATGGTAGATTTCCAAAACAATGTGGTAGATCTCAGCTTTTGGATCAAACTTTGTACAACAATTAAAAAAATTCTGCAAGGTTTCAGTGAAATTGCAAACATTTTGGCTGCAATTTAGTTTGGCATCCCCGGAGCTCCGCATTAATGTAGCTATGGAACGATAGAGGGAGTTCTCCTGATTGCAAATATATATACTTTTAACCGCAGCAGGCTTCTAGTTTTTAAGTTATTTGTTGTTAAAGTTTGTAAATTGAACTAACCTCTCGGCGCTATTTCACACAATAAACACTTTATTTATGTGCACACTTCGGCAAAATAGTTGCATTAAAACCCCGGCCTGAGATTTCCACTTTAATATACAATTCTTAATTAATTAATTAAGTAAAACGCGTTTATAAATGTCTTCACAAACGTTTGCACATTTCACAAACAAGCAGAAATAACAATGGCTGACAGTAACACAAAATGTATGCTACCATACGTTAAAAAAATACACAAATAAGTGCGTATAATTAGGAAGTATAAGTGTACATATATTGCTCTTATTAAAAATAATAATATTAGGATCGATAGGGGTCTCACTCCTGATCATAACGGTATTATTTTTTTCGGGTGGAAATAATATTTACTGGTGTTATTGTAGTTCAAATTACACAAATGTAGAAAACGTATATCGTTAATTTGATAAATAATGAAAATTTTTAATAAAAAATCGCGCGATTTTTTATTACAAATTTTCGCCTGCGGCGCTTTTTCCATAAAAATCAATACTTGATAAGTAATGAAAATTTTTAATAAAAAATCGCGCGATTTTTTATTAAAAATTTTCTCCGGCGGCGCTCGTCAGTTTTTTTTTATTGGGGGTATTTAACCCCATACCCTCCTTTACTACTAATTCAACGCTGAGCAGGAAAATGGGTACGATAAAAACTATTCTCTTTTATTGTTATTTTCTTAGATGTGGCTGCACTCTTCTAATGTCAGTGTGAAACCAAGGCGCATCAATTACAGGTGATAGCGATAGAAGCTATGCTTCTTCTTATGAGCACGCTTGTGTCAAATTATCGTCTGTTTTGCTTTATTTACATATCCGCGTATACATACACATATACTTATATGTATACCCTGCAAACAAATGCTCCCGAAATCTTTAAGAGTGTCGGAAATTTGTTACGATTCTTTTAGATATCTATAAAGAAAAACATATGAAGCGGTCGACAAGAACTAGTAAAGAAATTTCTGTACGATTTCTTAAAGAAAATTCTTAAAAAAATTGTTAAACGATTCAGAATTCTATGAAATCCTGGTATGCAGGGTATACATATACATACGAATATGGATAGATAAAGAAGATGTGGATGACACAAGGAGTTCATACCAACGGTAAATTTTGTTTTTGTACGATTGCTACAACCTGTAGTTGTTGAATCATGGTGTGAAACCATGGTTGAATCAACGGTTCTGTATTCACAATGTGCGTATACATATATAAGTGCGTGATAATTATTAAAACTTACTTAATTTACTAAAAATACATCATAAATGTAAAAAGTATGTTTACATTTCATTGTGCGGGGTTTTAATGCAACTATTTTGCCAAAGTGTCTACATAAATATAGTGTTTATTGTGTGAAATAGCGCCGAGAGGTTAGTTCAATTTACAAACTTTAACAACAAATAACTTAAAAACTATAAGCCTCCTGCGGCTAAAAGTATATATATTTGCAATCAGGAGAACTCCCCCTACCCCCCCATAGCCACCTTTTTTTTGTACGCGGGGGATGCCGTTACAGCCCTATTCCGGTTTTGCAACAGAATGACAATTGATCATCCTTCATTGTCGTGATTTTGTCATTGTCGTTGCACGTTGCTATTCCTAATAAAAAATGACAAGCGAAAAGCTTTTGTCAACTTACCATGCATGGTGAAAAGTTCATTGTTGTAGAAACAGCTGGTCAACGCTATTATTTGCAAAAAATATGAGCGGTGAAACACCAGAAAAGTGAGTATTTGTGTGAAATAGATAAATTCGTATATTTATAAAATTTATAAACATTTTAGACGTGCAAAATATGAGCGGACGACGCAGGAGCAGCTGCAATTTTATGTGCAGTTTTGTAGGGAGCATCCGGAACTGCTCGTCTTCCACAAGCACGGCTGCGCAAATAACTAAAATTTGTTCTGCCATTGAAATTAGTTGATTTTTATATTTTTTCACAAATTTATTAAATCGTCGCACTTTTTAAACCAACACAAACATATGTTTTTGCCTTGTCACCTGCCCAAAAGGTCATGACAATAAAAATGACAATTGGCATGATTCGAGCTTTTGAATTTTGCTGCGAATACCAAAAAGCTGCAATTGTCATTTTTATATCAATTGTCATCGCGGTGAGTTTTGTCAGTGTGGCGGAATAGGGCTGTAAAATTTTCCCTAAGTTAATTTCATCGTGCGGCGATGACAAGTTAAGAATTTGCGATACATTTTCAGGCGAATGTGTGCGAACGTTCACCGAGGGAAGAGGTATGGGACGACAGCTGGCATGGCATCCAGACGGTAATCTGGTTGCTTTAGCATTAAGTTGTAACCGCTTTAAGATATTTGACATAGCTGAAGGCGAGCTAATACAGTGCATTCGTCGCCGGAGAATGATGTTGCATTCACCCAAGTGGAAATTTCTTGGTGACTGGCGGCGATGACGATACAATAAGATTGCTTGATTTATTAGAAGGTCGGCCAATTTATACACGGTAGTAGTGCACTTTAGCGGCACCATATAATATAAATTTTTTCCTGTATTCAACAGTTGCTCGTTTGGAAATCTAATTTGCATACATTTGATGCCAATAGCTCGCAACAAACAAGCCAGTTCTCAAAGAGCCCAAATTGATTTTAGTCATGCAACAGCTCCACATAACTCCGCCATAGACACACCAGTTGCTGGAGTGCCAAAAAGCTGTGATGACAGTATTTTAATTGATCCACGACAATTGGTGGCATATGGAATGCGTGATGGAAATTTTCTGGTGCTTGATAGCCAATATACTACAAGAGTGAAACGCTGTGATAGTATTTTTTCTTAAATTTCCATCTTTTATTTGCAGTTACATTAAGAAGCTCATAGAGGACAGAGCGGTTGGTGAGGAAGGTGTCGAGTTACTGCAACTGTGAAAATCCGCATTTCGCACGTGCCCCACTCATATGGAATAGTAGCTTATGTCAAAAGGCTGGTTTTAGTATAATGCGGCATTCGCAGCATACCCTCACTGGCGCCGAGCCGTTGAAGAAATTTTGGCAAATAAACGTGCAAGAAATAGTTCCGATACTAGCACGTCCATATTCTTGTTAAGGGTCATCAAAAAATTCCTTGTGTTGTAAATAATAAAGGGAATGCCGGATTATACTAAAGCCAGCTTCCCGACATAACCTACTATTCCATACGAACACAGAAATATAAATGTATCTAAAACTGAATAACTCAAATCAAATTGGATTGCATTTGCATAATATACCTAATATTGGAATCTGTTTTGATCGTAAAAAATACAACTTGCAATCATTTAGATTATAGTTTTAAAAGAAATTGATTGCAATCGTAAATTGTGTAAAAATTGTTAATAACAATCTGCCTTAAATTTATTTTCCCCATGTAACGGTTATAAAATACGTTAAATCCGCACTATCTGCATTAACAAAAAATATACATTGGAATATTTAAAATAAAACGATTCATATTTATTTTCTAATAAGAATTGTTTCTTAATTGAAAGTATTTAATACTAATA